GATCCTGTATTTCATGCTACGAGATCTCTATGACGCTATGTAGACCATGACCACCCCCTTTTGGGCTTCACTTACGGGTGCAACCCTGCGCGAACTGCAAAGCCCGGGCTCAGTGACAAGATTGGCCTATAGGGTTTGGGATCCACCCGAAAAACCATGTCAACCCAAGCTTGCACAAAAAGAACGAGAGTGCATCAGCAAGAGCCTTTTGCAAGTCAAAGCCCCCCCAGCCCACCCCCCCTTTAAGCAGGAAGCACACAACCAAAAGAACCTACAAAACCCCTTATGACGCCACTTTCGAGAGTCTGCTCACCTGGACCGCAGGCGGCACCCATGATCATTGTAAAGCTTAACGCCTTGGGCTTACGATTCTGGGCTTCGGAGCCGACATACAGGGGCCTGAATAATTAGAATAGGGTGTTGGGGGTTATTATAGCAAATTTATATACAAGGGGACCATGAGGCAATGCTATCCGTAATTCTTCCGACCCCTAAATTCGGCCCTTGGCATGCGTACTTTGGTGTATCGGGGTGACACCCTGAAACCCCGTCCCAGAACGAAGCCTGGGCGCGGGCACGCTGGGCGGCGCCCTTCGTGTTCACTGGCATTTAGGGTTTAGGGTTTAGGGTTTAGGGTTTAGGGTTTAGGGTTTAGGGTTTAGGGTTTAGGGTTTAGGGTTTAGGGTTTAGGGTTTAGGGTTTAGGGTTTAGGGTTTAGGTTGCTACATACCCCCTCCCCCTGATATTAAACCCCCCCCCTACTCCAAATATGAAATACTCGCCATGTACTCTAATATAGCTGTACTGGGAGTGCTTCATACTAGGGGCTAGAGGAGGATATTTTGAAGAGGGTATCCACGACCTTCAAGTAAACTCGAGCTGAGAAACCCTCGAGAACGAATTCTTTCCAAGAACCTGAGCATGTTCCGTACAGCCAGCAAGCGGCATTTGCGCTCAGCCCCTCATGAAGAGCGACTGCGGCCCTGATAAAACCCATCTAAGAAGCATTTTTCGAGTGGTTTTATGAGGCCATTGGTTCATCTGTTAGTCTTGTCGTGTGCGATGTGAAGACCCTAAACCCTAAACCCTAAACCCTAAACCCTAAACCCTAAACCCTAAACCCTAAACCCTAAACCCTAAACCCTAAACCTAAACCCTTCTTGATGGCTTTGCGAAACACGGATCACAACAGCGGAAGCTTCGGGGTGCGAGTCGGTGCGGCGCAGTTTTGTTTTGGGTCTGCCCAGGCCCTTCAGAGCACTCTCCCTTAGCACGTGCAGGGATGGGTTCAGGGTTATTTTTTTGAAATGCAATGACTCCCTTTCTCCAAGTTCAGGGTTTAGGGTTTAGGGTTTAGGGTTTAGGGTTTAGGGTTTAGGGTTTAGGGTTTAGGGTTTAGGGTTTAGGGTTCAGGGCTGCCGTTTACCCGACAGTTTGGCTTTGGGTCCCCCCCGAGAGGCCTCCGAGGAAGGTTGGGGGAGACCTGACGGGCCCACCGCACAGCGAGCAGCTACAAGCACCCCAAAAATAGCCCCCAAAGCCCAAACCTTTGAAAACCCTAAACTTTAAACCCTCAATCCTAACCCCTTTCACAAAGAAGAACCCTGAGCCACCCGGCTCAGTGATGCGGCTGCGGGCAGCAGCCGCCCGCGCGGCCGCGCGCTGTGCGAGGGACTGCGAAGCCTGGAGAGAGAGCTCAGGGGAGCTTCAGGGTCTCAGGGCTTCGGGGGGGCTCGAGGGGTTTAGAAATTTAGGGTTTAGGGTTTAGGGTTTAGGGTTTAGGGTTTCGGGTTTAGGGATTCAGGGCTTCAGGGCTTCAGGGGCCTCACGGGCTCCAGGGCTTGAGGGCTTTATGGTTTTTGCGGCTCTAGAACATGAGGAGGCACGGGCCTGAGATATCACAATAACATCAAACAGGCCAGCGAAAACCACCGCACGATCTTTCGGACTCTGACCATGAAACTTCCGCTTCGGGCTTAACATCGAATTCTCTTGTACTTGGAGGTTCACGTTACGTATTTACCAATTGTAACTGTATTTATAACCCACTTATGAGCCCCTTAAGTGCCCGAATATGGTTATAAGTACTGTTAGAAGTCCAGTTATAATTTGTTAATAATAATTAAGTACCATCAACCTCCAAGTAGCTGCCAGAGCCAGACAACATACCTTTACCGGAGGGGTGCCCGGAAGCTCCAAAGATCTGTTTGATTATCCTAAGTTTACGGTTGCTGAGATTCCAATACCACGTGCCGCTGTCTGCATATTCAGAAGCAGTCTTGGCTGCACTTAGCAGGGTAGCAAAAAATCAAATTCTTAGCTGCCTTCTTAAGAAACCCAATAAACCCAAAAAGGCTAAGGATCTAAAGTTGCAGTAAAGAACCACAAAGCAGTGTGCCATGAACTTCTTGCGGTCGTGGTTGTTTGCTTCGGCGCCATGGGGCATCGCCCCTCAACCTGCAACTTTGAAACCCCTAAAAGCCTCCACGTAGAGGGTTTAGGGTTTAGGGTTTAGGGTTTAGGGTTTAGGGTTTAGGGTTTAGGGTTTAGGGACCTCCAACCCCCAAACCCCAGATCCTAGTACCAAAACCCAAAAAAAACCCTAAACCCCTGAGCCCCAAAACCGGGAACCTAAAAAACCGCTAAACTTCTATGCGCCGATACTATGTAAACATACTCTTTGAACCCCATACTGCACCCTACTCCCGGAACCCTAAACCCTAAACCCTGAACTGAAAACCCCAAGTAAACCCTAAACCCTACACCCTAGGCCCCAAACCCTAAACCCTAAACCCTAAACCCTAAACACCTAAACCCTAAACCCTAAACCCTAAACCCTAAACCCCAAACCCCAAACCCCAAACCCCAAACCCCAAACCCCAAACCGCAAACCCTACCCTCACATCTCAAGCACTGAGCCACTGAGTGCGGAGCAGCAGCCGTCGCCGCCCAGTTGCGGAGGAAGGTCAAGTCCTGTGAGTCGCTGGGTCTACAGTGTCTAGGGTTTAGGGTTTAGGGTTTTAGGGTTTTAGGGTTTTGGGTTTAGTGTTTAGGGTTCAGTTGTGGGGGTAAGGGATCAAGGATAACCAAGAAGAGTTCACAAAAACAAGAAAAGATCCAAAAAGTCAAAGCCCTGCACGGTCTGGGCTCGCAAGGCTCGAGTGTGAGTTACAGCACTCCTGCCCGTACTCTTGGTTGCTGAGTTCATAAGCCCCCCAAAAGTGTACATTTTCAGTTTTATCGGGGTTATAGTATCCCAAAAAGTGTAAAGTGTACTCACTCAGCTACTAAGTACTGTACAATACAGCACTTCTCCCGGCTCGCAAGCTTCAAACAAACTCTGCAAACGACAGCATGTCTACGTACTCGCATGCACCCAAATACTGCAAGGTCAGGTGCTTCTACTTCTGCTCAAGCTGCAAAGGTGTAATGACCCAATAAGGGACCCTAAACCCAAAACCCCAAAACCCAAACCCCAAACCGACTCGCCTGACGTTGGAGTTGCGCAGGGTCGTTGGTGAGGCGCCCCACCACCCTGCGCAGCACCTGCGCAAATGCTGCCGCAAGCTCAATATGTTGTGTTGCTACAAGAGGCATTTTTAGGGCCCTAAACCCTAAACCCCTAAACCCAAAACCTGGTTCTGAGCCGGCTTTAGGGTTCTTGGTTTTTTGGGCTTCGGGTAGAGATGTCAAGAAGAAGAGGCAGCAACGACTTGCCCCACGTGAAGCCTTGAACTCAAACACTGAGCTCCTACCCCTTCAGCCCGAAACCCTAAACCCGGTAGGGCTTTGGGGCGAAAAGCCGTAGCCTCCCAAAAACACCTTTGGGTTTAGGGCTTTGCGTTTAGGAACCCCTACTGCCTAAATCCCTGACCCCCAGACGCACGAAGCCACCCTCGGCTGCAAGTCCCATCCAGGCCAACAAACACCCTAAACCCTAGACCTCCAATCCCCTGCTCTTGGGCTGAGGCTTCCAACTCTTCCGGCGTCACAGGACCCGCAGCGCCTGGAGGCTTGGGGTTTGGGGTTTGGGGTTTGGGGTTTAGGGTTAAGGGCTTAGGGTTCAGGGGTCAGGGTTCAGGGTTCAGGGTTGAGTGATTCGGCCTGGCAGCTTGGAGGGTTAAGGGGGTTGAGGCTTCAGATATTCCAACGACACACCTCCCCCCTAAACCCTAAACCCTAAACCCTAAACCCTAAACCCTAAACCCTAACCCGAAGCCCTAAGTGAGAAGGGCGCTCAGCAACTGCTCGGGGCACTGCAAGGCCTAGCTGTACGTGGGGGCGCTATGGCTGCAGGACTCTTCCACCCAAACTCTTCTCCCCAAACCCTAAACCCTAAACCCTAAACCCTAAACCCTAAACCCTAAACCCTGTAGGCGTTGGGGCTTTATGGCACGTTCAAGGCTTGACAGCCCTTAGGGTTTTCGAGTTCGTGGCGCCTTGCCCTCACTTCGAACCTCCTCCAGAAGCTTGCAGAAGCCGGCTAGTGTTTAGGGTTTAGGGATCCTTGAACCCGAAACGCCGAAGCCCCTGCACCCTCCGCCCCCCTCCTCCGGCTTGTACCGCCAAGGAGACACCACGGCTCCGCCGCCTGCTGCCTCGGATGTCGGTTGTAGGGGCTAACCCGAAACCCTAAACCCTAAACCCTGAACCCTAAACCCTTAGGGTTTAAGTTTAGGGTTTAGGGCTTCAGGGTTTCGGGGTTTTGGGCGATTCGGGAGTTGAGGGCTTGAGCGCTGCGGGCGTCGAGAGGCACAGGGCCTCGGGCTTCGGATTGAGGGTTGGGGGGGGGGGGCAAAAAGTGCTCGTGTCAGGGGCTTAACAAAAGAGCTTAAGATCTTCAGGGCTGGGGTTGCGGCCTTGGGGTTTTTTTAGCTTGATGGTGTTCGGGGCCTTAGGGCCGCAGAAAGCAAGAGGGTCGGCCGAATCTGAGATGGCCATCCCTCCTTTTTGCCGCTGTCCGCCCCGGATTTGAATAAGCCGGAACTGCTGCACGAACTTTACCTCCCCTGGCACAGCCGGCACGCCCAGCCAAGAGCATCAAGGCAGCGTCGGGTACCGGAAGCCTGGATCAAGGGGCTGGCATCTCTGTGCGCACCCCTTGAGAGGCGGGGCTCTTCCTCCTCCTCGTCCTCCTTCCCCTCCTCCTTGTCCTCTTGCTCGTTCTTCTGTTTCTTCTTCTTCCTCTTCCTTTTTTTAGTCTGCTGATTCTTATCGTTTCTGTTGGCAGTTGAGTTCGCCTTGTCAGGAGATCTGACAGCCTGACCTGTCAGCATGTCATGGGCCAGAAGCGTGCCCCAGGCATCAGCAGCAGCATAGGACACGAAACCTGGCTCAGCGAGCATGGCCTTACTGGACTGCAACGTCCACCAGCGCCGCTTGTTGAAGCTCTGCTTGCTCCAGCGCACTCCTTGTGGATCGGCACGGCTTAGGACTGCCGCAAGACCAGGCGACGGATTCTTGGGGAGGTCGGTCATGTCCTTCAAATCGACGAAACACACCCCGACATCCAGGGGCGGGGAGCACTTTCCAAACGCTGCAATGTCCCCCTTCCCCTGGCAGAAAACCTTTTGGATGCCGGCGTCCGCTAGCAGCTCCCGTAACTCCAGGGAATATTGTCCAGGCTTCTGAGGTACCTCCACCACGGCGACCGTCTTCGAAGCGACTTGCACCATCAAGGGGCCGTTGGCTCCGGTGTGCCCATGCGTGCCCTCGCAATCCACACCGATCGACCCGTCCATCGATGCACGCAGTCTGGAGTAGGTGCTTCCGATGGCTCTTCTGTCCATTCCTGGGCCCACCCGCAAGACCTCCACACCTGCTGCCGCCATCTCCTTCTCCAGCTCCTTAGCCATGCTACGACTGGGTCTGTGGAGGCAAACCCTGAAGCCCCGTGGGCTTCAGGTTCGGGCAGGGCGCGAAGGCTTTGACGGAAACGCCAGGCAGAAGAAAGTTCGGCTATAAAGTTTATATCCGGGGCGGGCACTCCAGCGATGTCCTGCAGGATTCTTGAATAAACAACATCTGGTTCCGTGCATGATTCTCTGGAGGCAGGTCTTTGCGGGTAGCACGAGGAGTACGGGAGACGCGGGCGAAGAGTTCCGGAGACCCCAGCAAGAAAATTACCGGAGTTGAACATAAACAACCCCGCACTGAGAGCGGGGAAGTCGGACCTCGAGAGAACAAACAAGGCCCAAACCCTAAACCCTAAACCCTAAACCCTAAACCCTAAACCCTAAACCCTAACCCCTCATCCCCTGAGCCCCTGAACACCTGAAGCCCCAGGCCCCCTGAACCAAGGGATGCTACCTGCACCTTACCAAACACTTAATTAAGCCTTATCCCTAAACCCTGACACCTAAACCCTAAACCCTAAACCCTAAACCCTAAACCCTAAACCCTAAACCCTAAACCCTAAACCCTAAACCCTAAACCCTAAACCCTAAACCCTAAACCCTAAACCCTAAACCCTAAGAGCTAGGGATAGAGCTAGTATTTGCGCCCTACTCGCAGTAAGGGGTAGCTATGGCGAGGACTTGTGTAGGATCCCTAGACCCCAAACCCCCCAGGGTAGCCAGGGTTTAGGGTTGAGGGTTCAGGGTTTAGGGTTTAGGGTTTAGGGTTTAGGGTTGAGGGTTGAGGGTTTAGGGTTTAGGGTTTAGGGTTTAGGGCTCGGGTTGGAGGTTGAGGGCTTAGGGCGTAGGGCTCAGGGAATGGGATCCCCATGATGGCATTGAACTCGAGCTGCCCAGCACTAGCGCCGCAGAGGCCGGCAAAGCGGTCGCGGCCCAGCGGCAGGGATCCTAGCGAAGGCGAGTTCAGGCTTTAAGAGTTCTCCTAAACCCTAAACCCTAAACCCTAAACCCTAAACCCTAAACCCTAAACCCTAAACCCCAAACCCTAAGACTAGCGCCTCCGAACTTCCAGGGCTTCAGTTGGAGGTGGTCTTCTTATAGGACCATTGAATCCCGATCCCTAAGCCGAAACCCTAAGCCCTCAACCCTATGAGCCCTGTAAGGGTTTAGGGTTTAGGGTTTAGGGTTTGGGGTTTAGGGTTTAGGGTTTAGGGTTTAGGGTTTAGGGTTTAGGGTTTAGGGTTTAGGGTTTAGGGTTTCCCATGAACCCTACAGAACTCTATAAAACCTGGGAACCCTGTAAACCCTAAACCCCTCCTAGCAACCCTTCAAAGCCTTAAGACGGTTTCTCACATTGACCGACTGGTTCTTGGCGTCATCCCTTAAAGGGCATATATGCCACGGTAAACCCTAAACCCTAAACCGCAAACCCTAAACTCTAAACCCTCAGTTCCTACTAAGAGCCAGTAGGTTGAGGATGTTGACCAGTGGGGCCTGCCAGCCGCGCCGAGCACCCTCGCTTCCACGAAGAACGCGCCTGCAGGGCACAGGGCTTAGGGGTTGGGGGATTCAGGGTTTAGGGTTTAGGGTTCAGGGTTTAGGGTTTAGGGTTTAGGGTTTAGGGCTTAGGGCTTAGGGCTTAGGGTTTAGGGTTTAGGGTTTAGGGTTTAGGGTTTCGGGTTTAGGGTTTCGGGTTTAGTGTTTAGGGTTTAGGGTTTAGGGGACATGGGTTTAAGGTTTAGGGTCTAGCGTCTCTCCCGTTTGGCCGAAAATGCCGGGTTTTGGGGGCCTTTTGGTTCAAGGCACTTGCAAGTAGCGTTAGGGTTTAGCGGTTTAAGGCTTTGACTAGGCTGTCTGACTTCTGGTTCCTAAACCCGCGACTTGTAAAGTGAAACAGAAGAGCTAGAAACTCACTGGAAGGTTTGGGGTTTGGAGTTTAGGGTGTAGACACAATCTCTCAACCCGATAAAACCCCAAATGTCGCGACTACCCCAAACCCCTTTTGCCGGAAACACCTGAACCGCCCAACCTCCAAACTCGACCCCTGAATTCTATAGCCTCCTAAAGCCCCAAGCCCTAGGCCCTGAAGCCCCAAAACCCCCATCAATCCCTACATCCCTAAACCCTTAAACCTGCAGCCAACTAAACCCTAAACCCCTAAACCACTACACTTTGGCGTTTACGGGCTTTGGTCTGGAGGTTAGGGTCTGGAAATGGAAGGCTTGAAGTTTCACCGTCACCCCAAACCCTAACCTAAACCCTAAACCCCCACACCCTCAAACGCCCAATGCCCTAGCTTTGGGGCTTAAAGGGTTCGGGGGAGTGGGAAACCCCCTAACACCCCTGAAACCTGAAACCCTCAACCCTAAACCCCAAACCCCAAACCCTAGACCCTAGACCCTAAACCCTAAACCCTAAACCCTAAACCCTAAACCCTAAACCCTAAACCCTAAACCCCCTGAGGGGTTTACAAGGGCTGGTTGGGGGGAAATGGGAGCGCCTGATGCGCAGGGGCGGTGCGCCCGGGAGCCGAAGGCCTCGGGGGGCGTTTGGCTCGGAACGGGGGGTTTGGGTTTGGGGTTCAGGGTTCAGGGTTCAGGGTTCAGGATTTAGGGTTTAGGGTTTAGGGTTTAGGGTTTAGGGTTTAGGGTTTGGGGTTTGGGGTTTAGGGTTTAGGGTTTAGGGTTTAGGGTTTAGGGTTAAGGGTTAAGGGTGTACGGTTAGGTTTAGGGCGTTTAGGGTTTAGGGTTTGGCGGTTAGGGTTTAGGCGCTTGTACCTTTGGGTTTCGGCTTTAGGGTTTGGGTTTAGGGTCTACTCAAAACCCAAACCCGAAATCTTGGACTGTGAGGGTGTTCCGCCACCCTTTAGTGTTTCGGGCTAAGCAGAACTAGGAGAGAAAAAAAGGTGAGGGTCAAAGGTTGGATACTTGACAATCGTTCCTGTCTTGAAGACGCATCGACAGCACAACGCATTGATCTCCCGCAGTGGCATGGCCAGAAAGCGCCGAAGCTCTGGCAAGTGCTGGAGCTCTACTACAGGGGCCTGAAGCATTAGAATAGGGTTTGGGGCGTTATTGTAGTATACTTATACAGGGACCAGAAGGGAATACGATTAGCAATTCTTCCGACCCCTATATTACTACAGCTGACGTCTGTCGAAGCAGCAGTGCCTAGGCAAGCCAGCCCGACGCTGTGGATTTAGGAAGCTCAGGGAGAGTCAGCCCCAAGCCCTTTTCAACCCTAGATTTGACCTCGCCCTAAACCACAAACCGCCGCAGCGAGCAGGGCGTGAGAAGTATGACCTGACATCTGACATGGATGCGCTGGGCAACTCGGTGTAGTGTTCGCGCGCACAGGAGCCTGGTCGAGATGGGGCGCCGAAAACACGTAAATACCATGTGTTGGGATGTTCCCCCTTTGTACTAGCAGTTCTTAATAAGGATTATAATCGGGGCTACGAGAATCCCCATTAAGGACTGTGAGTATAAGGGGGAACATCCCAAACCATGTGAGTCGTCTCTACGCACGTAATCACCCCCCCCACCCATCCCACCCTGCATGTTTGGAAAGTAGCATATTACCTTCCAGGTCCCGTCGACACGGACATCAAAAAGGGCAGCAGAGCCAAAATGACCTCGTGGGAAAAACGGGTCTTGTGTAAATAAGCAACAACAAACATGGTAGATCACATGCTACCCTTCAGGATGCAGTTTACGACCTAGGGCTGTGTGTTTCGGCTTGAGGAAGTGGAGTCTCTCAACCCCCAAAATCACTACATCCACAGCTTTAGGATTTAGGGTTTATGACTAGGTCGTCTTAAACCCTAAACCTCAACCCTAAAGCCTTAAACCCTAACTCCTAGGAAAGCTCTGCCGGACCAGGGTGCAGAAGCGCTGCGGCCCCGCTGCACTGTGTCGCAGCATGGCCGGCGGCGTGCGTTGTTAGTTGCGTCGTAGTCTCCGGCCGGCGGATGTTTGCGCCGAGCTAGGAGGAGTTGCTAGAGTGTAGCGTTATACGAAGCGTTTAGGGTTGAGGGTTAGGGCTTTGGGCTTAGGATTTAGGGCTTGAGGTTGAGGGTTTTAAGGGTCGAGGGCGTAAGGATTGCTGCACAAGATCCCTTTAGAAACTGAGGACCGCAAACCAAGAACCTACAAGAGAGCAAACCTTCACCGGCTTGGTCTTAGCCGGGGTGCCCTGAACTGTAAAACCCAAAAGCCCTTCACCCTTAAACCCGACAGGGGTCGTTTCCTAAATTAGGGTCCCTGTTTAAGTACCCACTATAAGGCGGCTTTAACAAAGGGACCCTAATTTAGAGAACTACCCAGGGGGTGCTTGGGGGCTCAAGTAGGGTCGAGGGTAAACGCTGAGCCCTATAAACCCCAATCCCACCCTATGAACCCCCAAGCCTACAAGCCCAAAGCCTTCGAGCCTTGTGCAACGGGGAGCTCTAGTTCGTATCACGGGGCAGGTGGGGTGGGGGGCTACCCAGACCCAGAACCCCATGAAATGGTGTAAGACCTAAAGGCAGATACCTGAAGGTTTACGAACATAGGGGACCCCCAATATAGATCCCCAAATCCCCTTCTACTAAGGACCCCTATAAGGTACCCCGAGTTTCGGAAACCCCCATGGACTCGATGTCGGGGTTCACGGTGTTAGGGCTTAGGGGTTAGAGTCTAGAGTTTAGGGTTCAGGGTTTAGGGTCTAGGGATACAACCCTACAAACCCTGAACCCAAAGACGACAAACCATCTGAGACTTATCCGGCAACCCCCCGCCAACAAAAATAGAGAATCACCACCATAAATCGAGAACAAGTACCAAGAAGAATAACCTAAGACTCAGTCTAAGAGCTCTCCCCCGTCCCCCCACACCCCCTATATAATCCCCCTGAACCCTAAACCCTAAAGCCGTAAACCCTAAACCTTAAACCCTGGTTTTGGGTGCTTTACGGATCAGGGGATGTCCTATACCCTTCGGGCTTCCACACCCTGAACCCTA